AATTCTATAAGATCATCGTAACAAAAATCATGTTTGTATTGATTGTGGTCTTATATTTTAATAATCACGGGAGATTTAATTAAGTATTATAATTTTGCAATAGCACTGTTTGGTCGTATACATTGGATTAACTTTGGGTTTAGTTTGTAAAAACAATTAATCTTTTGCGATGTATTTACATACATTGGATCAATGTTGATTCATAGATATTGAATCAACGTCGAGATATATTTATTGGATCAACGTTGTGTTTAGATCGTAAAAACAATCAAATTTTTCAAAGTTTTTACATACATTCGAAAAATGTTGGTTTATGTTCATTAAATCAATGTCAAGATTTATATATTGGATCAACGTTGGGTTTAGATTGTAAAAACAGTCAAATTTATTCGATGTTTTTACATACATTGGAAAAACGTTGATTTAATTACATTAAATCAACGTCAAAATATTTACAATTGATCAACATTGGGTTCTACAAGGGAGTGCTGCTCTTTTGACTAAGGGTTTGGCATAAAGTATCAATCTTTTTTCTTATATTTCTTCAATTAAAACCCCTAATGTTTAAAAACTCTTCATTAAAGAAAGCGCAACAAGCGATTCAATAATGTAAAAAATAAAATCCGCTATTACGACCTAAATTTATAATCACGGCTGGAACCTGAATAACCTGAAATTCGATTTTAATTTGATTCAAAAAATAAAAAGATTTAACATTTACATTATAGGTATGTTGATGTTTGCTTTTTCAGCCCTTATGAGTGCATTTTTACAAAAAAGATTTTTCAAAATTTTTTTTCTTTGTTTTTTATACAAAATTAACAATATTTTTAAAACAAATTATATAATGATATAAACAATCAAATTATCCGTGTCATTTAGACAACAATAATTTGTTTTTTTATATTAGGTTTAAACATTTTATAAACTTTTTTTTTAAAGTTTTTACTCAGATGCTGATTCTAAAACAGAAAAAAACTAATTATTTAATTGAATAATGGAATTCAGAATAGCAAAGAGATATTTATAGATAATGCTTTTTTTTCCTCTCGTTCAGACATTAGCGTCTTTAATTGGCGAGTAGTTTTGCCTATATAAACAGAGCTACATTATTCACATGTAAATTTTTAGAGCATGGTTGATTTAAATTATGAAAAAGTAGGATTTTAAGAAAAAAAAAAGATTTTACACTTAAGTAAGGCAATTCTAATTTAACAGTAAGCGAACAGAAATATCTTTTAAGCTAATAAATTCATTATTTTTTGAGTTAAATTAGATATATTCTAAAACTCGTCATTAAAAGTAATGCAGAGATTTCTTGATTATCGAATATGGTTATATTATTATTGTTAGTTTTATTTAAATAAGTGTTACATGTTTTCGAATTTGATCATGATGTTTTTTAATAAGAATTATCCCAGTAAGCACAAGACGCATTTTAGACACTTATAGACGTCTAAAACTAGTCTAGGTATAGACGCACTTTTAAAGACGTTTTAAAGACATCATTTAGACGTCTTTTATAAAGGCGTTTTTAAAATGACGTTTAAAAGGCGTCTATTTAAGCGTTAAAAAAACGTCTAGAAAATATCTTTTTTTAAGACATCTTTTAGACGTCTTTAATAAATGCGACTTAACATGACGTTTAAAATGCGTTTTTTTAAAGTTTAAAAATACGTTTAAAAGACGCGTAATAAATAGTCTAAAATACGCATTAAAAGACGTCTAGATCAAAGCTAAAAGACGTCTTTTCTGAGACCTGTTTATAAATATGTCTACTTTTTGACGGCTTTGTCATTACGCGTTAAGTAGATGTCGTAAATTCAAAGTAAAAACATAGTTTTTATTATTTTCAATAATTTGTTCAAGTTTTAAGTGTAAATTACTTTAAATTAAATTACTTTTTTACACAATTGCTGAAATTGTTGTCACAGGAATCACTAAAGTAATTGCTATAATAATAATATATCTTTTTTTTATTAATAATTATTTTGCTTTTTTAATAGATAGTTGACTGATCATGATAATAAGTGAAAATGGCAAGAATAATATATAAGTTAAATATCAGTACTTTTAAATTTTATACACCCACAAGCCATATAATAAGTCAAGTATGCGGTCAAAAATTAGCTTACATTACATATGTTAAATGTTATTATAACTAAAGGTAAGTTATAAATGTTTTATATACTGTTTTGATATATATTTGTTATTGTTATTTATTATTTTCATCTTTGATGCATCATCCGTTGGTGGTGATTACAGCAATATTATTTTGATTGCTGGTTCCTATGTATATTTTGAATATGCGAAATTATTACAATATATGATGTTATAAATACAATGAATATATACCACATACTACGCGAAAATGTTACGTCATGTACTTAAATTTATCTTGAAAAAAACGTCTAACATACGTCTAAAACGCGTTTTTATAAAGACGTCTTCATTTAGACGTCTTTTAGCCTTATGATCTAGACGTCTACAAATGCGCCTTTTAGACCTGCTTAAAGACATCTTTAAAACGTCTTTTAAACGTCTTTGTGTTTACTGGGTATATCGTTAGCAATTAAGTTTTTGTTTTTTTAAAAATAACATTTTTTCTCACAAAATAAACTACAAATAAAGTTATAATTTGAATAAGGAAAATGTGGTAAATTATGTTTTATATACACTTTATACTTTAAATTTTGTTTTTCTGAAAAAATTTATAGTAAAAACTTAAAAACAAAAATTTTTTTTTTTGATTAAACTTTGATAAATTGAAATAACTGAGCTTTTTTTTAAGGTATTGTATTACTGGGTTTCGTTTTAAGTTAGTAGATATATATGCTGTATTTATAAAAACATATATAACCTAAACAAAAAGCAAAACAAAAACAACAAAGCTGGATTATTTGATTTCCATTTCTAAACAAATTAATTAACAGGACTTTTTATGAAAAAATAAAAAAAATAGTTAATAGTTGGTTGCTTTAATCAAATCAAATTGCTAACAATGTTTTATTTGTATTTCATATATTATAACACATCTTATAACCAATAAAAATAAAACAGAACAAATAAATCCAATAAGTTATATCTAAATGTTATTTTGTGACTCGAATTCTAAAGAGATATCAAAATATAAATTAAATACAAGAGTTTTTAACTTTGTGTTTTTTAACTTCTAAGTTCAAAATAACATTTTTAATACAATAAAAATACAAAATTACAAGTTCCATCTACGGTTTCATAATTTCTCTTTTCAGTCCTAAATCTTATAACCTGGTGGTATCAAAAAATTTCTTTCGTTTATATAATCTTTCAAAATACATGTATCTGTATATATCAAATTACAACTGTATATATCAAATTACAACTGTATATATCAAATTACAACTGTATATGTCAAATTACAACTGTATATATCAAATTACAACTACATAAATCAAATTACAATTATATATATCAAATTACAACTGTATATATCAAAAACAACTGTATATATCAAATTACAACTGTATATATCAAATTACAACGGCATATATCAAATAACAAGTGTTCAACTGTTCTATAAGTTTAAAAATAAGTTGCTTAAGGGTAATAAAAATATGGCATTTAAATTGTTTTAGATTTTTAGAATTAGTTTTTGAAGTTAAATTAAACAATCTCAGAGTGAACAAGCTTTGCTTTACACATGTTTTTTAGTGTATGCATTAAATTTTTGTCTTTTAGACTTAGGCGAATGCACACAACTTTGTAACTGGACAAAGGATGTTATCATTAATAACAATGAAAACTACATTTGTACATGTGATTTGGGCTGGAATTTGAGTACAAACAATTACAGTTGTGTCGGTTAGTTTTTATAAAAAAAATTTTCAATTTATTTTAGTAATAAATTTTAAAATTTAAAATTTTTTTTAACATAATTGTGCTAAAATAATTTTAAGATATTAATGAATGCATAAGTTTAAATAACCCTTGCAATTGGACAAACAGTGTTTGTAAAAATACTGCAGGAAGCTTCAGTTGTTCATGTGTATCTGGCTGGGGTTTGAATGAGAATAATGATAACTGTATTGGTAAGTTTTTTATTGTGTTGTTTTGATAATCAATTTTTGTTTGCGTAATTTTTTTATGGTAAGCCAAACAATATTTGATTTAAGACGAAAATGAATGCAATAATGTAAATATATAAATATATTTAATTTATGATGTTCAACTTTATCATAGTAAGTTAAACTATTGTTATCTTAAGACATAAATGAATGTGAAAGTTCAAATAAGACTTGCGATATAACAGATTGTGTTTGTGAAAATACTGCAGGAAGCTACATTTGTTCATGTTCATCTAACATGTTTTTAGATAAAAGTACAGGTAGCTTTTTTGGTAAGTTTATTGCATTATTTTGATAACCAAATGAAATTTCTTTAATAAAGTGTATATGCGTTTTACTATTATATAACAATATTATTATCATAAAAGTTAAAAAATTTGAAATTCCATGTTTAAAAACTGAGATCAAGCACAGTTTGTAATTTTGAAAAAATTACTTAAAGATATTCTTATAAAAAAATGCTGATACTGATTTATATCTATACTAAAAGAATAGATATTTAAAACTATTTATGTAACTGTTTAGAGACAACGTTCTTCAAGTTTTATTCATCACAAAGTTTATTATTTGTACACAAAAATTAATAAATTAATCAAAAGTATTAAAAAAATTGGATTTTTTTCTGGACAAAACAAGTGCAACTCCACAAAATGTTGACCAAGGTGTATTTCTCTATCAATATTTCGTTGCGAAACTTTTGTTGTTAATCACAACCTAGCATCTTGGAATCATAGAATCGATTAGGTAATTAATGAAACTTTTTAAAATTGCTGCTCAGGACTTTTGGATTTGTTCCAACAATTGATCCTTATTACGAACACTTTCACCATTAATTCTGCTGTTGACGATCTTCCACAAGTTCTCGATAGGGTTGGGTCCGGAAATTAAGGCGGCCAATCCAACACCGATAAGTGTTTGTTTTGAAACCATTGCTTGGCTACTTTTGCAGTGTTTTTCGGATAGTTGTCTTGTTGAAAAACCCATTTTATTGGCATATTCCATTCAGCATGAAGTAACATAACATCTTTCAAGATCTTTTCATACATGAAACGGTCCATTATTCCATCAATTTGATGTATTGGACCTAGACCGTTAGCAGAAAAACAACCCAAGACTATTACATTGCCTCCACTATGCTTCATGGTCTTATGGCAGTAATTTAAATTTTTCGGCGTTTTCCGGTCGGTCGACGTGTACGGCAAATGCCATCGCTTCCAATGACTTTGAACATCGATTCATCACTGAACAGGACAGTTCGCCATTTCTACACATTTCAGTCAATATGAGATGTAGCAATTAGGAGTCTTTTCTTTTGGTTCTTTAGTAAAATCAGTGGTTTCTTTGCAGGGACTCGTGAAAACAATCCGGCTTCAACAGCACGTCGTCTAATTGATTGGTCAGATACAGGCAGCTCTAAGTGCTTTTGTATTTCGACTGATGATATCCAGGGATCTTTTTTAACGGATTTGACAATCATAGAATCCTCTCTAAAAGTGGTGAAACGCGGTCTTCCACCTTTATTATCTGCTGTTAACTTCCCCGTAGAACAATATTTGGAACATAGTCTTGATACAGTCCATTTTTTCACGTGATATTTATCACAAATACTTTTTTGCGACATTCCACTTACGTAATCGTGACATTTTACTTATGTAATTTGTGGATTTATTTCATAATTTGTGGAAATATTACATAACTTGTGGATTTCTTTTATAATTTGTGGATTTATTTTATAATTTGTGGATTTATTTTATAATTTGTGGAATTATTACATAATTTGTGGAATTATTACATAATTTGTGGAATTATTACATAATTTGTGGAATTATTACATAATTTGTGGAATTATTACATAGTTTGTGGAATTATTACATAATAAGTAGAACTATTGTGATATTCCATTTACGAAATTTCATACTTCTGGAAACTTCTGGATATTTATGTTATTTATTAAAAACTTCCGTGACGTTAACACGGACCAGACTTAAAAAATGAAACAAACCAAAAAAGTTGCACTTCTTTTGTTGGCTGCAAAAATGACACTTATCAACGAAATTCTGTCTATGTGCTGTCACCTATTAGCTGATTGCTCATGTCATGGCATGCTAAGATTCCAGTCTCCTTAAATGTTTGCTGTGGTAATATAGTTTGTTTCATTTTTAAGACATAAAAATTAAAGACCATCGTAACAATATATCTATCGTCAAAAAAAAAAGCAACGACTATATAGTAAATTTCTCAAAAAAAAAACTTTTAACAATGAAACCAATTACAAATATTATAAACGTATTTTTGAGATGCTTATTAAAAAGTCCAAGAAGTTGTACTATACCGAGTAATTAATTAAACATAAATATGATCGGCACAATATTTGGAACATTATTAAGGAAGTAATTGGTACGAAACAAACTGACAGAAATATTCTTCCTACAAATTTAACAATTGATAATAAAGTTATTACAAATAAATCTTTAATTGCCGAAACACTTATTCTAGCGTCAAAAATAGAAACCACTGAAGTAAACTTTGAAACATATCTTACTCCTAATAAGAACTCTAAAAGTATTTATGAAATTACTGAAAATGAACTTAGATGCAGTAAATCTTTTACAACAAAACAAAAAGGTAGGAGTTGATAATATTAGTAGTAATGTAATAAAAAAATCAATAAAACACTTGACAATCCCTATCTTACATATTTTTAATCTCTCTTTAAAACAAGGTGTCTATCCTGAGAAACTTAAAATTGCAAGGGTTATACCTATGTTTAAATCAGGAGATAAAAATAAAGAAAAAATAAAACAAAAAATTTTCTAGTTCTGAAAACTACAGACCAATTTCAATTCTCCCTTGCTTCTCAAAAATCTTAGAGCGAATTATGTATAATCGGATTTTGAATTTTTTAAATACAAATAGTATTTTATATAATAAACAATTTGGCCAGGTAATTCAACTGACCGTGTCATTATTAATATTGTTCATGATATATTTAAAGCATTTGACAAGAAAAAGTTTACTCTTGGAGTTTTTATAGATCTTAGCAAAGCTTTTGATACAGTAGACAATAATATTCTTATAAAAAAACTCAAAAGTTATAGTATTAAAAGCACATATTTAGATTGGTTCATAAGTTATCTAAACAATAGAAAACAATACATATCATACGAAGAAGGAAAATCTTCCTAAATGGCAATAAACTGCGGTGTTCCCCAAGGTTTAATTCTGGGTCCTTTTTTATTTCTTATTTATGTAAACGATTTTCATAAGTTTTCAAACATTTTAAACTCTGTTTTATTTGCAGATGACACGAATTTAGTTTATTCTAATGGAAATATTAAACTTTTATTTAAAATAGTAAACAAAGAACTTTTAAATCTAGCGGAATGGTTCAAGGCGAACAAATTGTCCTTAAATTTAAATAAAACTAAGTATACTTTTTTTATTGAGTTCACGATAAAGAAAACATTTCACTAAAACTTCCTAATCTTTATATTGGCAACTCTAAAATAATTAGAGAGTCTTCAATAAAATTTTTAGGAGTCATACTTGATGAAAACTTAACATGGAGAGAACACATAAGTACAATAGAAAATAAAGTTTCTAAAAATATTGGTATACTATTCAAAGCCAAGCAGTTTTTAAACCAAAACTGCCTAAAAACTATACATTTCTTCCTCATACATTGTTATATAAACTATGCAAACATTACCTCGTGCAGCTCTAATATAAGTAAAATTAAAAAACTTCTTAGTAAACAAAAACTCGCTGTCAGAACTATTTCAAATGCAGGTCGATTCACACATACTAAAGAACTATTTAATAATCTTCACATACTCAATGTTTTTTAGTTAAACCTTTATCAAATTCTTATTTTTATGTACAAACTTCATAATAAAATATCACCTATAATATTTAGTACACTTTTCAATAAAATTAATCACATGTACCCTACAAGATTTTCTAAGTACAATTATGAGCAACCTAAAATGCATTATTTGGCTACCAAATTTTCTATTGCTATAAGAGGTCCTAAAATATGGAACGCTTTATTAAGTGACGAGCTGAAAAATTGTTCTTCTCTTTACCTATTCAAAAAAAAAATGTAACTCTATTCAAAAAAAAAATCTTATTAACGATGTTAATGAATTAAATTCTTTTTAAAAATTTTTTATTTTTATTTTTTCTTTATTTTTAACAATTATCTTATTAACTCTATAAACTATCCTATTAGCTTATCTATGGTTTTGATTTTTTTTTTTTTAATTTCTTTTTACTATTTTCTTTTGATTATAGATTAGTAACTAGTCTTAACATACTTGTAAATAATTGTATATAATTTTTTAAATGGCACAAAGTAATTATATATTTAACTTTTAATGGTTGTACACGCTTGCTTATGAAAGCACGTCGGGGTGTAGTGATAAGGCAAGTATTGTCTTCTTTCAACCCCGGTCATGTAGATCTTATTTATACTACACGGCATTGTATTCTTTTTTTTTACTGACGAAATAAATTAAAATATGTATATATATATATATATATATATATATATATATATATATATATATATATATATATATATATATATATATATATATATATATATATATATATATATATATATATAATATATATATATATATATATATATATATATATATATATATATATATATATATATATATATATATATATATATATATATATATATATATATATATATATATATATATATATATATATATATATATATATATAGATATATATATATATATATAGATATATATATATATATATATAGATATATTGTTATGATGGTCTCAAACGAAACCGCTCAAGCGGAACACATTGTCGGAAACGTTGTTGGTAAACTAACCTGCTTAGTAACCGTAGACGCGTTTAGCATCTGTTTGTGATATAAAAACAGGAAGAAGACCGGACAAAGAGAGAGGAGAGCGAAGAGAGAAAGAGAGAGGAGATATATGGGTATTTAACGTAAAGAGAAAAGATACAGAGATATATGAACATTTAGTTATGGTTATGTAACTTTTTTATATAAACTTTCTGAATAATATTACTATGTAACGTTAGCGAGTAATCGTCATTTACTTACCGCGTTTCATTTTGGAGGCACTGCCCGGATGCAAGTAGATTTCGTCTCTGCTTGGGCCGATTGATTTAATTACGAAAGAAGAGATTTATATATTTATTTTTAACATTTTTTATTTTAACCTACGCCTAATTACTCACGAAACCGTAACTATTATTGCTG